GGAGGTGCTGGCCGCCGCACCGGCCCCGCCGCCGGGCAGTCGTCGCCTCGCGTGTAGTCTGAGGGGGGATGTGACGGGGCGGGACGGGCTTCTTGTGTTTTGCCGGTGTAAAAGTCTTACTCTTTTAGAAGTGCGGTGCGAGGCCTGTGCTGGCTTGACCAGTAACACGATGAGTGACGCTTCGGTGCCGGGAAACACTCAACCGGCGTTTTGTGAAGGTGCCATCCTGAGAGAGTTCTTGCTGGGATAACTTACTGACTTGCTGAGCTTGTGTCCTGTGGTCTTACAACGCTTTCTGGAAGCCCGAGCTGCGTTGGTGTGAGGGGGGCTTGCTGGAAGTGTCCCGCTGACACCTTGGCCTCGTCTGGGTCTGACTTGTCAGCCAGCGGTCAAGCGCTGTGCTGCGCTATGGGAGAGGAGATAAGATGTCCAGTACGGCAGAAGAGTGCTGCGGAGCAAGTTGTGGTGAAGAGATAGCCCTCAGCTAGCAACAGCCGCACCAGTGCTAGAACTGAAAATGGTGTGTTGTCTTGCTGTCATGCTAATGTCCCTATTAAAAGGCAGACCAGGATGTCCAGTGCTATGTGTATGTAGCTTGCGCGCTGTTTTCAGGTCCCAACAAGTGGTTTTGTGTGATGTTGTCTACCTGTACAAATTCAGTTTGGATAGCTAAGAGGATGTCTTAGAAGTTGCTGCTGTGTGTTACCCTCTCCAGGACCTGAGAATTTTCAGTATTTCTTGGCTCTGGTAGATGCTCCTTGTCTCCAAAGCAACTTAGAGTAGCAGTAAGGTCTTTCCTTCTGCTAAAAATAGCCAGAGGGCAGCTTGTTCTCCCCAGTACGCTCTCGAAGGCAATGCAAAGAGAAACTGATTGAAAGGTGGAAAAAATACGCTCACTTTTTATATATTAAAAGGGAAAAAAATCTGTTGGCCACATCCGAGGGGGGGGTAAACTCCATGTACCTGTTTATTCAAGGACACCACGGAAGGCAACCTTCTTCCAGAAGCTGGATATCCCAAATAAAGCATTAATGATGTGAAAAGATGTACTGCTGAGAATATTAATTTGTTGTTAGGAAATGTTAACAAAGTTTAACAATTTTCTTTACGTTTGAATTGTCAGATTGCATTTATGCCTCAAAATAAATTAAAGCTGATAAATATGCAGTCTGTCTTAGGCTGTATTTAAAGTGTCACGAAACTTTCTCAAGCTGTTTTTACAGTAGACGTTCTAAACGTCATTTTAGCCTTCCTGAGAATTTTTGGGGAAGGTATAAGCAAAGGTCTGGCTGGTAATACTTAGTAATGATAGGTGTGTATAAAAGGGGAGGGAGTTCCCCTCATGTTTGGGTGTAATGACTGACCTTGAATAATTCAGAAACACATGAAACCCCGGGGAAAAATGCTTATGTTTGAAAAGCATGGAGTGTCATTCTTAAAAACATACTTTTATATATTACTTTACTCCTACATGCATTAATACTCTTTTCTACAGAGTTACTACCATTACAATGGTAATGCTAATGAAATTCTTCTTTTATTTGCTTTCAGTGGCAAGCCAGTTAGAAATTACACAGGTAGGAGGTCTGAAGGATCTAGAACCGATTCCACCCCCGCCCAGTGAACCAAGCAGTTTCATTTTCACAGCAAACTAGAAAGGAACTTTTCAATAGCTTTCTTCAAAAGTCATTATGCCAGATTAAAAATGGTAACATACAGGAAATCCCTGCTGCTTTATTAATTTGTTTGCTAGCTGAAATGGGATTTTTTTTTTTTTTAAGTGGGGAGTGGCTGCATTTCACAGACAGGCTTTGCTTTTCCCTGGATCATTTCTAAGCCCTTTAGTCTCAGTTTTGCAAGGTGCATTTTGTTAGTATTTCTTTGTCTCCGTTTCTTTATTCAGACATCCTCATTAGCACCCAAAATAAAACTGACACTGTAAAAGCAGATGTGCAACCCTACCCCAAGTAGCAGTTCCAGATTACTTACTCAAGGGTTCCCAGTTGCTGCAGGCTCTGACAGTTCGTAGTACCTACTCTGAAAATTGTGCATGCCAATGGAAACGTCTGCAAAATAAAAGCTGTCTTTTCCTCCGTGGACAACGTTCAAGATGGATGTTAACACCTTGTAGAGATTTGCACCAGGCGAAATTCAGTCTGTCGTTTTGTTACACCTGCTGTAGGCCTGGCACGTAGGCTGTAGCCTCCTTCCGGAGTGACGTACCTTTCATTGCGCTTTTACGTGTGCCGGGATTCTTAAGAGTCTTTATTGTGGGCAAATACACCTGAGTTAATGGTTGTCAATTGTAACTGACAACCATACAAAATAAATAAAATCAGCATCAATAAAGTAAACAAATCTACTTTTGTTGGCTGTACCCGTAAAGCGATGCTTTCTCTGAAAGGTCTGCAGCAAGCAGGGTTGCGTACCTGTACGCTCACCCGCGCTAACAGCCGGGACAAAAACGCTGCACCGCTTAACTAACTTAAAAATACATATGCTTGTGGTCTCTGCTTGGTTGATTTACACGCTGATCTTGTAAAGGTTCTCTGAAGGAGGTATGATGCCTTTGAGGTGAGAAGAATCCCCCGCTTGGAGGACGGGTTGCCTTTCCACTCCCCTCTTTTTCTCGGGAATGCTCCGATGAATCCATTCACGTGTATTTCTGCTAAGGGAATGAGTTACATCTAGTACTTCGTAAATGAAAGTAATCCCTCTGATGGTTCTTTTCATATCTAACACAACTGTTATTCCTGTTTTTATAGAACTCCTGTGTTTGGATTAAGCAAGAGATGATTGGTGGCCCTAATTTGCTAAACGCAGCTATATTATAAAATGAGCATCTGAGAAGTTTTTAATCTCACATAGTATTAAGCAAAATCACACATTGTGGAGAGAGGGTGTGGTCCCGTCTGCCATTCATATGAAGAGTGTATTGAGCACGGTTCTGAGGCTTTCAGTTTTGTCAGAGGCTAATACAGATTTTCCTTCAACCACCGTTCGATAACTGCCTTTCACCTCATTAAGAAGGCAGCATTTAATTATGTTTAGTTATTCGTTGGTCAATATATTCCCCCGTACAACCAGAGTTTCATTACAAAATAGCGTACGCAATTTGTTGGCAAATAAACTTAAGGGTGGCTATTTGATAATGATATCCAAATAGTACCTCTCTGCTTGAGATTTGGGTACTATCAATTCTTAACGTTTTCTTCCGAATCTCAGTTTCTACAGTTGCTCTTTATGTTTACTGTGACTTGTAGTTCTCATGCTCTTAGAGATGTTGGTCATTCCCAGTCTGCTAGTACTCAGATGTGAAGAAAGCAGCTTTAAGACAACTTTCGGATGGTAAAAGTTGAGTTGCAGAAATACAGGATGTTCTCAATGTTTAAGGATAATCAAAAAACTTAAAATACCTACCACTAGACAAAGAGGGGTTCTTTTTCTGGTCTTACACTTAAGATTTTTGTGGGGAAGAGAGGGGAACAAAAGAGAGAAGAAATAAAAATAAATAAAACAAAAGGAGCTCTTACTTTGGCTTGAAGATTGGCTACCAAATCTTGGACCGCACCCACCAAGAAGGGATCTTCACCTCTTGTTCTCGATCCTAGGGATGATGCAATGCTGACTTCCCACACAATAGGGAATGAAATTACGGCATAATAGCTTGCTTCTCACTCATAGTCAGACTGAAGAACCGAATAAGTACTTTCCTCACTGAAATTAGACACAACCAGAGAGAGGAAAAATAAAAAAGTTAGTCCATTTTTGTTTTTTCCTAAAAAGGAGAAGTAAAACCAGCAAAAAGGAGATCTGGGAGCTAAGCTGAAAAACAAGGAAGTACGTCTTCCTGCAGATGAATAATGAATGTTTTAAAGATAAAGAATATAAAAACTGAGATGATAAATGCTCACAGAATTAGTGAGCGTGTTAACAAATAACAACAATATAATTAGATGAAAACAAAGATTTCCCTTTTTTTGCAATAATTTTTTTTCTGTTATGTTGACGACATTAATGGGATTTTAAGTCCCATTACATCAAGTGCTGTTATTTCCCTAACAAACCAGGCTATAGCTGTCTCTTCGCTAGCGGTGTTTACTGCTTCTGGCACACTAGATGCACCAGCCACATCTAGCACTAGCCTGTGGCTCCATTTCCTTGAGCTCTGGCTAGTCTGTGGATGGGTAATGGCCCAGAGAGATGGAAGTGGTCTAATCTCTGGAGGTTTGTTGTGCTAAGGAACATTTAGGCCATCTTTAATACTGTGTGCAATCTTTTCTGCCCTTGCCCTCTCTTCCTATGCTGAAGCTGCCATAGAAACTTGGCTAATAAATTCTCCAGAGCTAAATTGCAATATATCCCAACGCTAAAGGTGAGATTCATCTCACCTATCTCTATCCATCTAAAATTTAGCTGTCTAGTCTAAGCTATTTATCTGGGCTCCCATGCAGTCAATGGAACTAGATAGGCATCTCCACAGGGTAATTCTTCCCTTCCTATGGTAGGTGTCTGAGGCAGGTGTGATGAAACTCCTTTTGGAGATGCTTGTCTCACACCTTTGTTGGTGGTGGGAATTTGGATAACTGTTAAGCTAGAGGCATAAGTCTTGGAGGACTTGAGCCTGTGCCCCCGGACTTCTGCAGGATTCTGGGATCAGAATCCTCTAGAGCAAAAGCATTGTAGAGTCACTGAGAAAAATAGGTGCTAAAGGCCCATCTTCCTTTCATCCTGAAATACCTTTTTTTTTTCCGGCTGAGCAGGATGCTTACCTCAGTGTCAGAAGACACTTTCTGTCTTTGGTCCCTTACCTGCATTGTACCAGTCTGGTCAGGCATACGTAAGGAGCCCAGCATTTCTGGTGGTAAGCCAAATAAGCGTACAGATCACCGCAGTAAATCAGGCGTAACAGACGTGCTGCTGTCCTAGGCAGAACACGTTTACATGCATAGATTGAATGTGCTGCATACATGGAGTATGTCCAATGCTTTCCTGGAAGCACTGGCCACAGTGTCGTAAGCAATAAATTGCATTCATGCATGTGCAGCAATTTCAGGATTTCCCCGGAGCCGCAGATTTTCCATGCATATGTACAGCAGCTGTGTTGCACATCTGCAAGACATGCACGTAGTGATGGCAGATGGAATGGGAAAAGATCCCAACTGGGACTGGTCTGGTCTCTCTGGAACAACTAATTGAGCTTGTGGCCTGCTTCTGGTGTGCTCCTCCGCTTGTCGACACCACGAGCTGTGTCAGGAGTCACCCGGTGGAAACTGCCACCCTGCCTTCATGGGGCAGAGGCTGAAGACCCCGTTGTACAGACATGCACATCAAATATGACTTCTGTAGGCATCATATAGAAGACTAGTCCGTTTACACTCTTGTAAATGAAAACCAAACCACTCCCTCCCTTGAACTTGCAAACACAAAAGCCGGTTTTTTATCTACACTTAGATAACATTTTCTAACTATAAAAGAAGCTATCAGGGAGCTACTACAGTATATGATGTATCTAAGCGACTGAAACCTTGGGGCTATGTCAATATGTACAAGCTGAAAATCTGACTCTTATTTTAAAATAGTTTTTGAAGTCTTGAAACACATTCTTTTAGAATTTATTTCCATACTGTCTGTTGCTGTATGTGTGTGGTACTGTTCTAATTCTTAGGAACGCACATGCTTATTTTTCATGGTTTCTTGCTTACAAGGGTCTTTTGTTCATTCTGGTAAAGCATACTGTTAATCACAGGAAAATATTTTTAAACTCCCTGTTTATAAAAAAAAAGAGAAAAAATGCTTTTCATGTAGAAGTAAATCCTATTCTAGTAAACTGTCTTTTAAAATGCAATTATAAAAGTGATTATGTTAAGTCTAAAGCTAATTTGGTCCAAATTCTCATCAAGGCTTCTTAAAATAAAAACTGGCCTCTCAGTTAAAACTGACTTTTTTTTTCAGATATTATTTTTTAAAACTGCAGCCTTAAATTAAACAATAATATTTCAATGGAAAAAAAATGGGATTTTTTTTCTTGAAAAGAATTAGAATTTTTTTCGGTTCTGTGAGAAGGGTT